GAGTCATAACCTCTAGATCTTAGAGTTGGAACCCGGAACCACCAAATGGTCAACCAAATTTTAAATTTATACCCAATGGTTTAGATAATGATCCTAATAGTAAGGAATCTTTCAAGATCGGGGGGTGAGAAAATCAGTCCAAATGGATGGAGTTGACTTTAAAAATCTCCTAGTGGGATCAGTGATAGAAATTTCTCCTGGGACCTGGACCAGGTGAGCAAGGCCCCTCGTTCATAAATGCTGCTCCCTGTTCTTATCCTGTCATTTCCTGTGAACTTTGCCAAGTTGTTCCCCCCTCCTTCTCTCTTAGGAAATCTAGGATAAAAGAAACAGTATGGAGGTTGAACCAGGGTGCACAAGGCAGTGAGAGTTACTAAATAAAGGTGAAAATAGCCAATACATCACATAGTATTTCAGATGTATGGAATAACCTCTTTACATTTATATATATGTATATATATAGAGAGAGAGAGCTATATATATATGTATAGAGAGAGAGAGGATAGCTAAGAAGCTATCCTTACTGAAAACAGGAAAAGTGGGGTTGGGGTAGGGAAGAAAGTTGCACTTTCCAGTTCTCCAAAGAAAGATGGAAAGATTCCCTCACCTCACCTGATGATTTATGTTCAGGTCTGAGGATTTGGGGTTTTTATTTTCACATTAAGTCATGAAATTTAGATTGTAGGTATTGTGTTACTAGCTGTGGTGCAGTGAACAGGAGTATAGGATCTGCCTTTTAAAGGGATATTAGTGTGTGCATTTGGATTGCTTGGTGACCTTTGAAATTTTGTTTTGAGCTGCTGTCAGAAACATAATCATTTTTCTTTCTGAAATAGATTTGAACATCTGCAAAGGTTGATCAAGCTAGGATAGTTTTAATAAAATATTAATCTCTCTTTTTTAATGTCAACCCAGCTTTTAAAACTGTTCACCGGCTACCTGAAACGTCAGCTCCAGGCACTTGAGTTGATTATAATAAATGCCTTTTCCATTAAACATTCTTGTGGTCAGAGTGCATTTAGAGGATAGGAATGTTTCCCGTCTGGTTTGTCTGCAGTCCTGTTTTCCAGATTCTCTAAGTTTTAAAGTAAGATTACTTTAAGGTTGTATTTTCTTATCTCAATAGTTAACTTAAAAATTTTTATAGTTCAAGGATGAGAGATTGTTCTGAATCCTGGCATCAATCCTTCAAAATCTGGATAGTTGAAGGATGTCAACTTTTAATAAAATTTAACTTAAATATCTAGTTTAAATATGTCTTGTCATTAAAAGGTTATTTACATCTAAAATGCTGACCTTTCAAGATGTACACAAGAGTGTTCTCAAACAGACTTTCTGAACATTGGCCATGAAACCACTGTCTTGGGCTGACAAATGGATTGGAAATAAGCTACCCAGCCCTGGGAATGGGCCATTAATTTTAATCAAAGGTGATGCAGGAAGGCAAATGGGATGCCTGACAATGTCAACAGCCCAGTAGGTGTTAAGAGACCACACAGCCTTCCTTGTTACTTGGTAGGGCCATTAGTTGAGGTTGGGTGAAGACAGAAAGCCATGTCTGGAATTGAATGACCAGGTCACTCCAAAATCTAATGGAGAACTCCTCATTTCAGAAATCACATTGTAATGTCATTAGAAGTCAAGGACAGCATTTAGAAAATATCAGAGGATTTTTTTTTTTTTTTTTAAACCAAGAACCTAGCTAATTTTTTCCAACTTTGTAAAGCTCTCTGTTTTTCCATCTTTTTTCCTTCCTAATGGATCCTTGATATTTACACAGGATCAAGAAGTCAAACAGACCTAGAAATAAAATCTCAAAGCCTGTTTGCTTTTCAGAATTACATATTGTTACTTATGAAACTCTGGTAAATGCCAGAAACAGTAGCATACCACAGGATTTAAGCAGGGTAATTAATTCTCTGTGGTGATCTCACTGTCCTTGTCCCTCTCTTGTGTTCTTGTGTGTAGGAATAGTTTCATTAATACAAACTAAACTTTCTTAATTGCTTTAATGAAAGTATTAGTTTTGTAATTGTAAAGCCCACTGTGCATGTACCTTACTGTAAATTGTCAATATTGGCTGATAACATTAGTGATATTCATGGTAGTGAAGCCTTTTCTTTTCATCGTATGTATATTTCCTTATTTTGAGTATTTTCAATTATAAAAATTTAGTATATGACAGCTTGAATGATAAAGTTTATAATAAAGACATAAAAATGCAAAAAGGACAGAGTCATTTTTTTTTTTAATTTATCTTTATTGTTGAAAATATTACAGGTGTCCCATTTTTCCTCCCATTGGTCCCCTCCACCTCACTCCCACCCCCTCCCCAGGCCTTCACCCCATTATTGCCTGTGTCTGTGGGTTATGTATATATGCATATAACTTCTTTGGTTAATCTCTTCCCATCCCCCACCCCCATTCCCCCTTCTCTCTGAGATACAACAATCTGTTGCTTGCATCAATGTCTCTGGGTCTATTTTGTTTGTCAGTTTCTTTTGTTCATTAGCTTCTCCTTAAAGAAGACCCTTCAACATTTCATGTAGTACTGGTTTGGTGGTGATGAACTCCTTAAGCTTTTTCTTATCTGTAAAGCTCTTTATCTGACCTTCAATTTTAAATGATAACTTTACTGGGTAGAATAATCTTGGTTGTAGGTTCTTGCTTTTCATCACTTTGAATATTTCTTGCCACTCTCTTCTAGTCTGCAAAGTTTCTGTGTGAAATCAGCTGACAGTTATATGGTTGCTCCCTCATAGGTAAATAACTGCTTTTCTCTTGCTACTTTTAAGATTCTCTTTTTTGTCTTTAACCTTTGGCATTTTAATTATGATGTGCCTTGGTGTGGGCCTCTTTGGGTTCCTCTTGTTTGGGACTCTCTATGCTTCCTGGACTTGTAAGTCCATTCCATTTCTTTCACCAGATAGGGGAAGTTTTCTGTCATTATCTTTTCAAATAGGTTTTCAATTTCTTGCTCTCTTTCTTTTCCTTCTGGTACTCCTGTAATATGAATGTTGGGCCACTTGAATTTGTCTCAGGGACTCCTTGCACTGTCTTCATATTTCTAGATTTTTTTTGTTGTTTTTGCTCTTCTGGTTGGGTGTTTTTTGTTGCCTCATATTCCAAATTGCTGATTTGACTCTCAGCATCCTCTACTCTACTGTTGATTTTCTGTAAATTATTCTTCATTTCAGTTCATGTAGGCTTCATTTCTGACCGATACTTTATTATGTCACTCATGATCTCATTAGTTTCCTTAATAGTCTTACTAAGATCCTTGAGCATCCTTATAACCATTGTTTTGAACTCTGCATCTAGTAGCTTGCTTGGCTCCATTTCATTTGCTTCTTTTTCTGGAGATATCTTCTGTTCTTTCCTTTGTGACATGTTTCTTTGCCTCCACATTTTGTCCGCTTCCTGGTGTTTTTTCCTCTGTATTAGGTAGAGGTGCTATGTCTCCTGGAATTGGTAGAGTGGCTTTGTGTGGTAGGTGTACTGTAGGGCCCAGTGGCTTAGTCTCCCCAGTCACCTGAGCTGGGCCTTCTAGGTGCTTCCCTGTGTGGACTGTGTGCACTGTCCTGTTGTAGCTGAGCCTTGGTGGCTATTGATGTCACTGGGAGGAACTGACCCCCAGGCCAATTGGCTGTGAGGGCCAACTGGACCTACAGCCAAAGAGCTGCTGTGCTAGAGACACCCCTATGGAGCAGGATTTACTTTAGTGGAGCTTTAGTGTTCACCAAGTCCATCCCTTGAGTGTGTCACTCGTGGATGTGATAGGGTTGTAATCCAGTGAGGTGCACTGTCTCTGGCGCCTCCCAGGAGGTGCAAAGTCAGTGTTTGCCTGTGCCTTTCGCAGGGCCACCCAGCATGAGCTACACAGCAATCCATAGATGGCTGTTACTTGTGCTGGGCCTGGCGTTGTCCAGGAGAGGACAAGCTATGAACCAATGCAGCTGCCGCTAGTGCCAGGCCCAGGGCCACTTATCAAGAGGTATGGGGCACACTGAGGCCAGCTGCTACTTGTTTGAGAGATTTTAGAAAAGTCCTAAGTATGAGGCTAGAGAGGCCACTTGCATAGAAAATCCACTGGAAATGGCTTGGATGAGCTTGCAAGTAGGGAGGGGCAGGGTGGGAATCACCAGGGCGGGGCCAAAGGTGTGAGTCAAGTTGATGGAGATTTAGAGAAGGGGCCTGCTGGCTCTGTGGGGAGAGGGCTCATCAAAGAAGACATGGCCTCTGCCAGCTCTTCTGTCTGTGAGAAAGCTGCCCTTCCAGCTCTCTCCCTGATTCTAGGCAAGTTAGTTCCTCCATGAATGCCGCAGGTTTCAAGCTGCTGCTGAGCACTGGAGCTCAGAGGTAGTGTGAGTAAGTCTGTGCACCAGCCCTTTAAGAGGAGCTGCCTGGGACTTCAGCAGCCTCCTTGTCCCTCAGCTCCAATGCCCACTGGTTTTTATAGCCTGAAGTTGTGGGGACTTCTCTTCCCCGCACTGGAACCCTGGGCTGGGGGCCTGATGTGGAGCTGGGACCCCTCGCTCCTCTGGGAAACCCCCACCAACCAAGATATCCCTCCCTGTTTTAACCTGCAGCACCTGGGTGTGGGACCATGGCCGCATCTTTGTAATTCAGCCCCGATCCGCCTGTGTTTCCGCCCCTCTTATGGGTCTCCACGTGCTTCTTCAGCTCCCTGGTTGTAGGGCTTCTGTTCAGCTAGATTTCAGGAGGTTTTGAGTGGTTCTGTATTTTAGTTGTAATTTTGATGTGGTTTTGGGCGGCAATTACCACGGTTACCTACGCTGCCATCTTGTTCGTTTTTCCACAGAGGCATTCTTATATCTTTTCTTCAGGTTTGTTCAGAAAGTTAATTTATTCTAACACAGCATTATGTACATAAGATATGTATTAGTAATTTTTATACATTTTTAAGAAAGAAAAGTAATTATATTGCTGTCTCGTTAATGGAATGCTGTTATAAATAATAGTATGTGTTCTTCCTGTAGATGAAGATCAGCTTCGTGCAAAGGGTTATGACAAAACGCCAGACTTTATTTTACAAGTACCAGTAGGTAAGTTCTTAAATTCTTTTATGCATTTGTTTATAGAGAAAAGGAATGTGTGTTTTTCCCATAGATTTTTAAAATTTTTTCTTATGCTACCAAATGTTACCAGAGTAGGTTCGGTTTTTAATATTGTATCTAAATGGGTAAAATCATTGGAAAATATTATTTTTAAATAGTAGAAAATAATAGGTTCAGAAGAAATCTCTCCTTTAAAGTCTCTTATACATATTTGAGAAATAAATATGTCTTCTAAAGACATTTTGGTTGCTGTTTTCAAGTAATTTCTCTAAATACTACCTATTTAAAATATGGCTCTGTTTAAAAACCAGGCTCACTTTTGTTTGCTCTCACATTACTTGTCAACTTAGACAGTCTCAGAACAGGAGAGGGGCTTTTGAAGATGATGATGAAAATAAAAGGGATGTGATTGTAGCACGAATGGTCCTTGTAACGAATACATAGGATATGTTGTTTTATAATTACATCCACAGGTGACGGGGAGAGCTAAGCCTCTGTTCATTAATGTAAAGCCTAGAGAGGCCTGTACAGAGCTCAGAATTTCCAGTCTTCCCTTTCCTTTGCTCCATATTAGTAATGCTTTGTCCCTTAGCTGTGGAAGGGCACATAATTCACTGGATTGAAAGCAAAGCCTCATTTGGTGATGAATGTAGCCACCACGCCTACCTGCATGACCAGTTCTGGAGCTACTGGAATAGGTAAGGTCCCATTATTTTTCTCTTAAGATAAACGATACTCAGCTGAAATCTCATTAGAAAAAATATTTTGTTTAGCTGGTAAAAATGCTAGTAGCCTTTGTTTCTAGTAAATACAGAGACTTGATTAATGTATTCATTTCAGATAATTTAAACTTCTCTGCTTTCATAATGCTGCTTCATTTTTTAAAACTAAAAATCTTCGCATAAAGTCAAAATTAGTATGTATGCCATTTTCCATTTATAGTGATAATATAGGTGTCACTCAAAGTATGAATAATAAGATGTGATGCATGTTATGATACTGACACTGACTTTTATCCTTTTGATGTGAAATTTACGTGTACTGTCAGACCTTAAAAAGTATTTTATCCTCAGTTCTCAGAGGAGAATATCCAAACAATACAGGGGTGGGCAAAAGTAGATTTATCGTTGGGAGTACAAGAAATACAGAGTTGATTCTTGTACTATTATTTATTAATTAATTATTGTATTATTTATTATTAACCTACTTCTGCCCACCCCTGTATAAAAGACCTAAACAAATTACCTTCCAACAGTAGAAAACAGCTTACCTGCTAACTTCACAGTCAACGTTCCCAAGGGCATGGAGTCTCAGCAATGAAGAAAAAGTGTGGTGTTGAAGGAGGAGACCATATTACTGCCATATTATTAATGCTATGTTACTGAGTACCCACCATGTGCCTGGACCTGCACAGTATCTCAGTTAATTCTCACAAAGAAGTTACTTTTATCCCCACTTTACAGCTAACTAAACTGATACTCAAAGAGAGAAAATAATATGCCATATAGCTAGTCACCATAGGCCTGCATTTGTCTCTCTCACTTGCTAACCTGTGCTTTTTCCAGCACAACTCTATTTTCATTTAAAATACAACTGTTGCAGCGTTGGCTTTTTATATTATTGAAATCCCTAGTTTTCTCACCATACATTTCCCCCCACTTTAAACTGGAGATGGGTCAAAGGGGTAACCTTCCTAGATGAACTGTGTTCCTCAATCACTGCCCAACAGTAAGAATAAAAGAGTAAGATCATTAAGGAATGAGACAATAGTATCTGTGGACAACCATCTTATCCTGGGGGGAAAAGCAGTGGCAGACTACAGAATTCGGCGTTATATCGTTACTCAGCCTTATGGAAGGCCAGCGGACCTCGCCCGTAGCAGCTGTGCTAAACTAAGCCCACTTTTTGCCATGGTAACAATGATCATGACAAAATGCTGAATGTAATGGCTTTCTTGATTTTCCTGTGTAATTGTGCGTAGCATCCGAGCTTTACTTCACAGGGATGGAGGAGGAAAGTGCAAAATGTTTTAGAAATCATTGCTGCTTCAGCGTTTCCTGTCTTTTATTCAGCCATTATTCAAATTAGCGGTAATGTGGCAAATTGAATTTTCGATTTTTAGCAATTTTATGATGAGTTTGAAATAGTAAAGAAAGCATCATTTTTGATAGTATAGGAAAAGCAATGACAGGAAAATCAAATTGTGTAAGTTTAGGTTGCTAAAGGATTTTGAAAACTGATAAACTCAATCATTATGCTTTGAGACTATCTTCCTGCTTTGGTACTGGTCAAGTCTTTAAGGAGGAATCCCAAACAGTAGGGCTTACTTTAAATCCCAAGAGCATATCTTTATTTTAAAACAACTCAACTATTTTTGAGTGCCTACTATGTGCCTAGTACATCCTATATTAGAGGCTCATTAAATAATCTAGTCACCCGTATGATAGACCCGTGGATTATTGACATGGCTGGAGAGGATCCAAACAATAGATAATTTAATACAGTTTTTATTTGGACTGGATTTTAGATTATTTTGTTGTATGTTGCTTTCATATTCTAATGATGATTTACTTACCTGTTGATTTACATTCCCTAAACACCTTCTTTGAATATGTACCAGCTAAGTGGGCACATAATTCATTTAGGGTCTGTTGTGTGATAAGGGAAAGCCAACCTGTTTGGAATGTTCTGAATCATTCAAGGGAGAAATACTCTACACAGGAGTCACCACTGTTACCAAATATCTGCAAAGATATTTGCAGGTAGTGCTGTCATTTAAAATGAAACATGGAGGCATTTACTTGGATATAAAATTTTGGTTATAATACTGATTCAAACTCATCAGTGATGGGGCATTTTGACAGAAGCACTTAGCCCATTATGAAAGCATGGGATCCTACTCTTGTCGTATTTTGACTCAACACAACTCACATAGCACTTGCTAAAGCTCTTCAAAGTTGGTAGAACTTAACTCTCCCAAGGTAGGTAGCTTTTCAAAGAGGCTGTTGGTTGCCATTTGGGCTAATTGCTTTATCTGTGTGGTAAGCCTCTAGTTGACATAAAAACTGTTATCTACTTGTCACTATTTTCAGATTAAACATTGGATATTATAATAAAACTGTTCCACTAATATTTTGTAGAATCATGACCTTGTATAAACCCATTTTCCCACACCAATAACTGCAAAGCCCCTATTTTTTAATTTAATATTTCTACATATGAGTTTTCTTTTTATATATATTGATATTCTTACTCAGTCTTTCAGCAGCTTTTGACAAAGTTGATCACACCCTCCCTCTTTATTAAAACATCTTTTCTTGGTTTCTACGAGATATTCTTCTGGCTTCTTCCTGCCACTCCAGCCACATCCTCAGTCTCCTTTGCTGACTCACCTTCCTCTTCTCAGCTCTAGGCCTGAAGGCCCTGGAACTACGTGTTCACCCCTCTTCCCCTTTCTGTCTACATGCACTCCCTGGTGTTCCCTTGGAGAGCTCATAGGAGACTGTGGCTTTATATACCATCTCTATGCTGGCATCTCCTCATTTTAACCCCATCCCTAATATTTCCCCAGAGTATAATTTTTTTGTCAATCCAACTGCACAGTCAGTACTTTTTCTTGGCTATGTACTAGGTATCTCATACTTAACATGTTCAAAATGAAACCCTTGATTTTCTTTCCCAAGCTTGTTTGTTTACTCCTCTGTTTCCTCACCAGCTCAATTAATGGCACCACAATTTGCCCAAATACTCAAGCCAAAAACTGAGTGTCATCTCCAATCCATCAGCAGGCGCTTTCAGTTCAATCTTCATCACATCTCGATCATGCCATTTATCACCATGCCAACACCTCAATGGCTGTCAACACCTCTGGGACTATTGCTGTAACTTCCAAACCGGTCTCCTTACGTCAAGTATTACACTCCTGTAGTCAGTGTTTTATACCCCAACCAGTGACTCTTGGAAAATATAAATCAGTTTGTGACAGTTCCCTGCTCAAAACTCTTCAATGGCTTCCCATCACATTTAAAATAAAATCCAGACTCTTTACCGTGACATTCAAAGCCTTGCATGATCTGCATTTCCACCCTCAATTCTCTCCACACCCACCTCTCTTCCCTCACCCAACATTCTCTCCTCTTATACTTCTTTGGCCACGCAGGCTTTCTTGGTCTTCCTTGAATCTATACTGCTTGTTTCTACTTCAAGCCCCTTACTCTAACTAATTCTTCTGCTGGGAATTTTTTTCACTTGGATCTCCCCGTAGCAATCTCTTCACAGCACTCAGGTCCCTGCTCATATTTTCCCTCTTTAGGAGGACCTTCTCTAACCACCCACTCTAAAAGGCATCTCCCTCAGTCATCCCTCTCTCCTCACTTGGCTTTACTTTACCTGATAATACTTACCCCTATCTGAGTGAATGAATGGACTCTAGTTGGAAACATTTATATAAACAGCAATTTGCTTGTTTGAATACAAGCCCTTGGAAGACCGTTACCTTTTATATTGCTATTTCTAATTACTATATGTAGTGTGCCCCTCATTCCTTTGTAATCAAAGCTTCAGAAATTTCCCCTGGCTTAACCTCAATTTTTAAATATTACAATGCAGTCAGATATTGAGTACAGAATATAAATTGCCTTTCCTGCAGATAGGACCCCATCCCAGGTATGAAACTTAATTAAATAGCTCCTCAAAAATCTACAGTCTCTAACCTCAGCTCTCAGCTTGGCTGACATCTTTTGGGAAACCTTCCTGTAATTCCAAAATTGCGTCCGATGCCCCTCCTGTGTTCTGCCAATAATTTTATAGCATTTACCAGATATTGTAATTGCTTGTTTACTTGTCATCCTTAAAAGTTCCATCTTATCTGTATGTTTTATTCATCAACAAATACCCAGAAGCTGGTGGTATACCTGGCACATCATAACTGATCAGTAGATATTGAATGAATGAATATATGAATGAATTTTCTGATACATAACAGACAATAACATTTTGAATCAACCATTTAGGATTATGTCAGACATTGTGACATTAATCTACATTAGGGCCAATTTTTTTTTTTTTTTTTTTGAGAATGCCACTCTAAGGACAGTGAGAAAATTGCCTCATTTTTATTTTTTTAATTGAGGTGTAATTAACAGATAACATTATATTAGTTTCAGGTATACAACATAATGATTTGATATTTGTATGTATTGCTAAGTGATCACCACAGTCTAGTTTGTTGAGAAATATCAATGAAATACAATTTCTCAGAAAGATATTTGATGACTGTGTTCAAGCATATGCAAGATTTGGGGGAGGGAGAGAGCATATTGACCCATTTCCCAAATCCAGGGGGCTAAATAATTGTTGAAAGAGTGACTCTTCTTGTTGACCCCCTATGGTAGAGTTTTAGTATGGGTCACATATGGTTCAGAAATGTTACCCCAAACCAGACCAACAAGCAAATGACTGGGGGCCATTGTAAGAGTGGAAACACAACCATTATGATCATACAGAAAGAGTGAGGGAAGAATAAAACAGATTCTGCCAATAGGATGTGTCAGGGGCACAGTGAGCATCAGGAGCCCAAGAATCTAGTCCATTTCTGAGATTAATTCTGGAATAATGGAGAGCAGGTGAAATTGATGCTAATATGCCTTGGTGTCTAGCAAGCTTCACCATGTATTAAAATTACATGGGGAGCATTTAA